GGAACAGGTTGCCCAGAGAAGCTGTGGATGTTCCATCCCTGGAGGTGTTCAAGGTCAGGCTGGACAGGGCTCTGAGCAACCTGATCTAGTTGAAGATGTTCCTGATCATTGCAGGGGAGTTAAACTAGATGACCTTTAAAGGTCCCTTCCAACCCAAACCATTCTATGATTCTATCATTCTTTGGAGTTTCAGGTACTTGGAGTGACATGGAGCATGTGATAAAAAAGGATCTAGTTTTTATTTTTTTTTCCCAAATGAAGACAAGACATTAAAGGCTATAGGGAAAGCAATGCGCTGATCCAAAACACAGAGAATTTTGAGCTCATGAGTTTGGACATTGTAGGTTTGCATTTTTGAGCACGATGTAACAACTTCTTGCTTTAGATTGAAAATGACTTTTTGTTCTGATATGTTTCTTTTCAGCTTGTATTTTCGAAAGTTAAAAAAAAAAAAAAGAGCATACTTGAAGAAATTGGAAATAAATGCCAAGATTTACAAGATTCCATTAACTAGATGAAGTGCAGATACCCTGTTTTCACTTGTTACAAGTAAGCTGCTAGTCAAATAGGGCTGACATCTGTCCTTTGATGGGGCACCTCGTATCTTTGGCTGTGTTTCGTGGATTTGTAAGCTAAGATGGGGGAATTTACTCTGAAGCCCTGAAATACACGGACACAGCATTTTCCAGTGGCTTGGTGTCAGTGAGCTTTCAGCATATTTAGAGTATCTGCAATTCTATTTTCATTTAACAGAATAAAAGGCAAAACCATAGAAAGTGTCATGTAAGTTAGTATTTGTACAATAGACTTCAGTCTCACATACATGGTTAAAATTACACGTTTACTAATTAATGGCTGAGTTAAAGACTGGGAAGGGCATATAGTCATATGTAAGGGCAGTAGCACGTGGGCAGCCATCTTACGCAGTCTCAGGTGTTAAAACCTCTTGCTCCAAACCCTGGTTCATAGACCCCAGCATGAAGGTTGATTTGTGAGGGCTTGATTGCAAGATGGTGGTCCAGAGTGGCAGGTGATGTTTTCTTGGTCAGGAGTGCTGCAAATCGTGAATCTTCAGGTAGGAAATCAACAGAGATGCACGAAGGATGTAACCCCAAAAGCAGCCTCTCTAATCATTACTCTTTCTTTCTTTGTATAAGACCTTATGCATTACTGTAACATAGCAAAACCCTTTCAAAACTTCATTCAAAACCCTTTCCTGAGTGCTGGATCTGCACCTTTCTCTGCAGAGGAATGAGTGCTGTCACCTGAGCCGATGACACCTTTAACATGGCTTATTTTCCTATGGTACTAAAAGCTCTATTTCCCATATCTGAGATTCTCGTTTTTTTGAAATCGTGTCCAGACAAGCCCAACAGGTATAAAATTGCTTTGGCTGAGCTGGAGAGAGCAGCACACAAGGCCGAAGTAAATTCCTGAGCCTCCTTCTTTGGAGCACATCAAGTGGAAGGGAAAGACAAGACCATGGTCAGGTCAAGCTTTGCCCAAGGAAACGTTGGGAAGGAAAAAGGAAGCAAACCAAACTCCACCGGGTAAAGAGATTTCTCCGCCCTTATCTTTGCTCAGATGACACGGCATCATGCGTGCACCCAGGCAGACCTGCACAGAGACACACATACATCGTTCTGCCTGCCAGACCTTCTCCTCTTGTTGGGAAGGGCGCCAACAACGTGAAATGCAATCCAGTGGCTTCCCCCTTTCCCCACCCCTCCCGCCACCTTTCCTGGGAAGAATTATTTTAAAACTTCGAGCTTACTGGTCGGTAACTACGGCGATCAGAGCCAAAAGGGCGAGGGGAGGAGGGGTGGGAGCACGTTAACAAGGGGATGGGAAAAACCCAACAAGGCTGGTACAAAACGGTCCGTGTAGCAGCAGTACGGAGACCCACGACGGGACCGGACGGGACGGGATGGGACGGACGGACGGACGGCTCTGCGGCCGGCAGACGCCGGAGCGTGGCGGCGGGCCAGCGGGGCGAGTGTCGTGGTGGTCAGGCGAGGCTCCCTCGC